TTACAACAGCCTTTGTGCTTCACCTTGCTGCTTGTAGGCACACTCGCTCAACCTGCCCTTAGAATACATCCAGCTACTGGGATGTTGAGCATCTTAAACCATAGTTCTGGGCCTGTGGTCCCATGACCATGCTGCTTGCACATTCTGCAATGCAAGTCGAAGAATTTTAACCAGGTGTTAAAGTCTTTTGCCACTTGGTTCCATCTTTCCAATCCTGACTTTCATGACTACAGCCACACTTGAAGGTCCTTAACAATGTTTTGCATTTACTCTTTTGTGCCCTTTGTTGAAAATGACTTGCTCCTCCATTTCTGCGCGATGAAATTATTAAGACCCAACTTGAGTGCCACCTCTTCGTGAAGACTTTCCCAGTTTTCTTCAGCTATAATCTCCCTGCTCTGAGGTCCCATGGATACCTATTTATATATACATACCTTTCTGCCTTACCTTAGCTCTCTGTAGCATCTCCTTGGCTCGGTTCAGAGCTCTTGGACGGTACAGAGCGAGCATCTCATTCAGTCTCTGTAATCGTACCCAGTAGCCGGGGCGGTATGAATGTGTCTGCCTCACCCGTGGTAGGTGCTCAGACAAGTGCCTGTTGCCCTGAACGCAGATCTTCCTGCTTACACAGTGCTTTCATTTTTAAGGCAGGCGCCTAATAGAATAAGCCATACACGATTAGGTAACACAGCCAGAGAAGCCGAGACATTCCAGCCAGTCGCTAGGGTGTCCCTATAGCCTCCCTCTGCCCACTTCTAAACGTAGTGTGGGGGGCGGAGGGGATAGCCCCACTAGCTCCTCCTCCCCATCCACCCAATGGATCAAGTTCCAGGTGGTCTCCCTCCAGTCTAAGGGCCTTAAACTCCAGGCAGCGGTGCCGGAGAGATAGGGGACTCTGCCACAGATGTCCCTCCCACGCTCAGCGAGTTTATCTCTATTAATTTTTGGAGGAGGGGGCGTTCAATGAAGGGAAGAGGTGGGGCGAAGGGAGGAGGCGGACCGAGGTTGACTGACGCGAGCGCCTGGGAGCCAATGGAGGGCGGGGGGCGTTCCCCCCCATTCAGGACTCCTCGCCTGGCTCGCAAGGTATGTTAAACAGCTGCTTTTAATTTGGTCTCCCTAATCTCCGGCATTTGGGGGGCTAGTTCGCTGGCCCATAGCTTTGGCCGGTCCGTCACGGTGCGGGCGCCGTAAGCTCCGGGACGGAGCTAGGGGAGGCTCGGAGTCCGAAGGAGGCGAGGGGCAGGCCAGGAAGGAGAGCTCCTGGCGCCGCCTGCTCGCCAGTGTGTTTCCCAGCCGGGCGGGATCTGTGGGGAGGGGTTCGGCCCGGCCCGGGGTCACCAGTATGCCGGCCGTGCTGCCTAGTTTATTTCACTGGTAGGTGGCGGTGGTGGACTGGGTAAGGGGCGGGCAGGAGAAGATTTCCCCCCGCTCCCGGAATGCCTTAAAAATGATTGTAAAGAAAAAAAAGGGGAGATCCGCACACCGACAGGAACCGGGCCAGGCTGGGGCGCGCGGGCTCGGCGGCCTGAGCCGTCGGTGCCGGAGTGGGTAGATACTAGAGTTCGCGAGCGAGCGGGGCCAGCAGCTTTCTCCGCTAACCACGCAGGGCGAGAACCGCAGCCACCCCGAGCGTTTCGTTTATGTCCGCAAACTTGTCGGAGGGGGTGATGGGCGCGCTCCAGAGAGGCGCGGCGGGCGGTTGTTATGGACTCTGGGGGCGGGAGCAACGCAGGCCTGGCAGAAGGGGAGGCCAGGGGCGGAGGGGCCACCGGAAAGAGCCCCCCGTGTCGATCTAGGTGCTCGGAACTCCTGGCCATGGCGGTGGAGCCGGTAATCGGCGCCGGAACCAGCCAGGCCGCGAGCCCGCGAGGAACTCGACCCGGGGGTGTGGAAAACCTCCAGAAACTCGGCAGATTTGACCTGTGCTAGAGCTGATCCGGCAAACAAGGAGCTGCCTCCTTCCCCGCCCACTCCAAGGCGGTGGAGGGGGCGGGAGCCGGGCGTGTGAGCGCGCCCACGAGGGAATGGCCTGAAAGGGGCAGTGAAGGTCGGAAACTGGGAAAACAGTCTCCACGCTCGGACTCGGGAAAAGGAAATGCATCAGCGGGCGGGGAGGGGCGTGGGGGGCGCGCCTGTCAGCCGGGATGGCGGCCGCGGGCTGGTAGGCGGGGCGCCGGCGCGAACCGCTGCGGTCGGGCAGAGCGCCGCCGGTAGAGAAGTCGCAGGGGCCTGGGCCCATAGAGCGCATGGCCACTCTAGCCTCCACTCCATGACCTATCATGTTTACTATCTACTCCGACGATGGCTTGTGCAACTGGCGCCGAGGACAGCTAGGGGGCGGGGCCTTTTCCTCTGTCTTCCACCCACCTCCGGCTCCTCCAAGGGCCCGCCTTCTCTTGTCTTCCACTGGCTGGATGAGACTACCTTTTTTCCTTCTCGGTTATCAATTGGCTGACATTCGCCCGAGCTCCGCCTATCGGAGGCCGGGCTGGAGTTTAAGTTGCTAGGATTTTTTTCCGTGAAGGGCGGAGGGAAGATTCCTGCGGCTTACGTGAGGCGCAAGGTCCCGCCCCCACTCCTGATTGGTGGGGCGGATAGTCCCGCCTCCGGCGCTGCGAGCTTGGAGGGGCAAGTCCACCTATGTTCTCCGCCCCCTCCCTTGGGTTGTGTGCGCGCTCCGCACATGTGTGAGGCCCGCCTTGCTCCTCAAACTGCCCTCCCGCGCGGAAGTCCCGGGCTTGGAGCCCTTGGCAAGGCGGGGCGGAGAGAGCTGATAATACAATGATTCCTTCAAGGCTCGAGATCTGGTAGCCTTTGCGAATAAGTTAGGGGTTGAGGGTGTGGAATGGATTTGGAGGGCTTAGCTCGGGGGTTTTGTAGGCGGTGGGATCTCTTTTCGGGCCAAGTACTAAAGAAAGGTTTGACCCTACGGCTTGGCTATTCTTGCGCCCCCTGACTGCCAAAGATAGCCTTGAGCTTACGCTCGAGAACGCTGCGGACGTGTGTGTTCTTCTCAGCGCAAAGCAGCCGTTGTCCTTAGCTGTAGGGTTTATCTAAAACTAAACAACCTAGAATTGGCCTGGATGCCTTAGACAGAATCTAGGGCAGCTCATACGCTGTTGACAGAGAAGTCGTGGGGTGGCCAAATCCTGCTTGGGTTCGAAGTGGTTCTTGATGTCAGGTGGGAGCGCAGTTGTCGCACCCAGTCCAAGGAGTGGGGACGACCCAGAGTTAAAGGCAGCCCTCGGTCAGCTCTGCAGAAGTGCCGCTTTTTCGAAACCTACTAAGGGTTTGGCCTGGGGTTCGCTTTCATCGGTGTTACTTATTTTTAGAGCTCCGTCCTGGGACAGGGCTTGGCTTCCGGCGAGGCTGTTCCCATTTGTCGGCCGCTCATGGCGTTCACGGCTGCCTTGTCCTTGCGGCTCGAAGCCATCCTTGGAGTCCGGCCCACCTGTTGCAAGCTCTCGCTTCTTGCCGTCTCCGCTGGATTGCGTAGGGAGGACAAAACAGGACCGCGTTCCCCTGGTGCCTGCCACTTGTGGACTGGGCTTTCTTGCTGGAGAGCGGGAAACTCTAGTCCCGCCCTCTCCTTGCGCTCCTTGAGCGCCCTCCAAAGCAAGACAGCGTTATTTCTCCGCCTTATTGATGAATAAAAACCTATGTACTGCAAGCACTTTGTGTTCGAGGCACAATAATTTACAGAAGGCCTAGGGACTGCCATTAATACTCATTTGCCAACGAAGAGGTTAATAGCCGTTCTTACTATCTTTTGTCCCCGAATCTGGAATTTTTAAACTTTAAGTGTGGGGTGGTTTAATTATGCCTGTCTGGACTCTTTCCTCAGTTCTTTGAGTCTGAGGATGCCACGAGATCTACCTTGGCGATCGCCGACTTCCTTACGCTTCATGCTCCGCCTTCCGGAGGCTTGCCAGGGCGGTGGCTGTTAGGCCCCTGCCTTTATTTTCGTTATCTCCGCCCTTTTAAGACTGCTTATTCAGGTTTAGGGAGTGTCAGTGTTAGAAGTGTGTAGCCACCTTAGCAGCGGGTTGGCATCCCCTGGGGCTATTTCTCGGCTCTGGTTACAATCCTTAATTCTGTTCTCTACTTACTGTAGAGAGTTGTGGCTGCTCCGGATATTTGTGTTTACCAGGAGGCAGAGTGTGGAAATGTAAATTGTAAAGAGAGAACGGCATTGGAAGGATGAGGTTCTCTTTTTCTTTAAGGGGGCATTCCAGGGTGGTAATGCTGCTGCCTCTCCCCTTCAAATACTAGGGATTGGATCTCGGTTGCTGAGCTCCACGGCTCCTCCTGTCTCGGGCCCTGGAACTCTCTGCGCTGTCTCTAGTGTAAACATTCCACAAAAGGACTGCTAAGGTTCAGCCTCCTCGCGCAGGGCGGAGTCAGTCCCTTCCTAGACGGGCATCCTGGCCAATGGAGGCTTCTACCGGGCACGAGGTATCCAATCCAATGGTTGGGGGCGGGGCATGGCCCGGCAGTGTGGTAGGAGGCTTCTGTCTTACTTACCGACATTTTACCCCACATCGGTTACTTACCTTCCTAGGGCAGCGGGCGAGCTAGGGGTAGCCTTCCAATGCGATGACCGGCGAGGGCGGGAGCTGACTTGTTGGGCCTGTGGCTGAGACGGCACAGGGCGGGATATGTGGAGTCCTCCAATGAGACGTGAATAGCTTCCCTGTTCCCTCCAATAGTGTTGCGGCTTGGGGGTGGGATTCAGCAATTCATCTCCAATAGGCGGGGTTGAGTTAGGGACGCTCCCCGCCAATAGGGGCGTGGAGAAGGTGAGCGGCTCCCCCTCCCCTCCCAGCAGATGGGGAAGGGGCGGGCAGTCAGCAGGCACGGCAGAACGATTGGCTAAACCTTTGACAGGCGGATAATGCAGCCTGTGGCGGAGCGAAGTCGAGTCTTTCCTCTGCGGGGCGGGCCGGCGGAGTGGGCGGGATTTCCCGGGTAACAGAGAAGCGGCCGCGGCGGTAGAGGCGGCGGAGACGGTTTCTCCATCTTCCCCCCCTCCCCTTCCCCCCTTCCAGTTTCCCTCCCTCCCTCCCTCTTTCCCAGTCTGGGCACCTGGGCCTGTGACTGCTTCGTTAGCGGAGAGGAGGCTGCCAGTCCGCTTCGGCGGGCCTATGCTCCGTACTGTTCTCGGGGCCTCCCTGCTGAGCCCAAGGCTCACGCCGAGAGGGACACGCAGTAAGGAGCGGCCGAAGCAGCTTTGCGGTGAGAGCACGCTGGGCCGGGGTCAGAGCGGGGAGCCTGTTGGCGGGTAACACGGGACCCGAGGGTGTGTATTTTTAGGGGGGGGGCTGACCTCCTCGGCTTCCCGTAGAGCCGCCGGGCGGGAG